GTGATAAGATGGATTAGCGGCAGTTATGCTGATGAGGTTTACAAGATTAAATAGTGTCTTAAGCCAATCTTTTTTGAGATACAAAAGAGAGAAGCAAGCAGAGACACACATGGGAACCTTATACCACCAAGAGGGCAGGGCTGGGAGCAGAGCACATCCTTTGGACCTGAGGTTCCTGTGCAGAGAAGCTCCCAGACCAAGGGAAGACTGATGACGTGGACCTTTCTCCAGAGCCAACGGAGAAAGCGTTTCCTTGGAGCTGAAGCCCTGAATTTGGACTTGTAGCCTACTGGACTGTGAGAGAATAAACTTCTCTTTGTTAAAGCCATCCACTTGTGGTGTTTCGGTTACAGCAGCACTAGATGACTAAGACAGGCATCTCGAAAGAAAAACCTGGTGATCTGCTTCCAAAAAGTCACAACCATGGAAACCCCATGAAGCACACATGAGGTTGCCATAAGTCAGGCTCAGCAGCAACTGGCTTGGTCTTTAGTGGTGTTCAGGGTTTGGTGGGAAGCCCCAGGGCTGGCAGGACAGACTCCCTTTGCTCTTCTTTTTCAAAACTGACCTGTTCTTTGTGGACCTCTGTGAATGCTATGTGAATTTTACAACACGTTGGCCAAGCCCTCCAGAATTCTCCCCACCTGCAAATCTGCTTGGGGCTGCAGTGAGTCATAGATGCCTCGGGGAGACGCCTCCGAGTGTTACGGCTTCCTTATGCTGGTCCAGTCCATTTCCTGTACTGGGATCCCGCATGCCCCTCCCCAAGGAGTAGGCACCCCTGCTTGTTCGCGCACTTTGCTGCTGCGGAGACGCTGCCAAATTTTTCATTGCATTGTTCAGGTGTGTTGTAGGATGTCCAGTTACTCCAGGGTTTCTGGGGCTGCCCGGGTTCCTGTGATTTGTCTGTTTGATTCTGTTGGGTTTTTGTCTTAGTGTCCTGGGACTGCCGCAACAAAAGATACCACAAGTGAGTGCCTTTAAAGAACGAAATTTTATTTCTTACAGTTCTGGAGACTAAATATCCAAATGAGGGTCTCGGCCGTGTTGATTCTTTCTGTGGGCTTCCCTTCTCGTTTCTGGTGTCTGCCAGCGATCCTTGGCGTACCTTTGCTTGTAGACAGGTCCTCATATGGCGTCTGCCTCCACCACCCGTGTGTGTGTGTGTCTGTGACTATTTGCTCTTTTTTATGAGACACCACTCAGAAAGGATTAAGTTTAGGACGCACCCTCCTCTGGTGTGGCCTCATTAACATGACAGAAGAAAACGACTATTTCCGAACATAGGGTCACACTCATAGGTATGGGGTTAGGACTTCAACAAAACTTTGGGGGGACATAGTTCACCCCTAACGGTCTTCCATGTAGACGGTCGTTCCCTGGGCCGCCTTTCCTCCCCCACAAGATATGTCTGAGGGGTCAGTGGGTGATGTGTCCAGGGTCTCAAGTAGGGACCAGACCACTGTGAGTGCTTGGTCAGCGTCCATCATCAACTCCCTTGCCTGGGAAGCCTGCCTTGGCCGCTGGACGCCAAGGGCAGGGCTGAGGCTGCAGTGCCTAGCAGGAGCTGTGCCCCGTGTGAGTGGTCAGCACCTGCCAGCTGCTCTCCTGCCAGCCCCGAACCCTGTCCCCAAGTCCCTAAAACCTTCTTACTCTGTCTCCACTCCCAGGCTGAGGCTGCAGGCCCTTGAGGTCACTGTGTCCATCCCCCTGCCTCTGGGTCAGGCAGGTGCCGAGCTCCCTGTGCCCCGAGGAGTCAGCCTGCCACCAGGGCCCAGGTTTGTGGCCGAAGAGCTGAGCCGAGGCCTGCGTGTGTCTGGTGCCAGGCTGGCCACTGGGCCCCAGCGCCCGGCTCTGGCCTCAGACCGTGGAGCTTTCTCCTGTGGGCCAGGGCCAGGGTGAGAGTGTGCAGAGTTCCAAGTAGCCCAGGTGGGGTGGGCACGCTGGGATGAGACGCCAGGAGGAGCTGTGACCCCGACCTGCCCACCCTGGCCACAGCCCCCAGGCCTCCCAGAAGCTATCCCCCCGTCTGGGCCCCCAAGCGTGAGGCCGAACACCCCCCATCAAACTGGGACGATGTGTGGCTCCCCATGGCAGGACGCAGATGCCGGCAGACATACGTGAGCCGTGCCTCAGAAACACTCATGTCAGGCTCGGGAAGTGATGTCCTGCCCCAGGCAGACTCCAGGGGGGACTTCTGGAACCATGGATGCAGCAGGAGGGGGTTGTGAGGCGCCCAGGCCAGCCTTGGCCCTTGGGGCCCCTTCCTGGCACGTTTCCTCACTCTGGCGGTGGTAAGGCGTGGCCCTGCCTCCCCCACCCCCTCACCCCCATGTGTGTGGTGGACCCAAGCTTTCCTGCCTCCTCTGAGAGGTCGGTGAGCCGAGCCAGCTTCAAAGCTCTTTCCGGAAACTGTCTTGCATAACCTGGCCTGGGCTGCTGCGGCCCCCACTTCGATCTGGTTACTCCCTGCGCCCAGCCCTTGGTTCCAGGCAAGAAGGTGACGCAGGTCAGCCTTTTCGCACTGCGGGGGGTGGGGATTAGTCACCCAGTCCACCCCACCCCAAGAGGAAGAGGCGGCTTGCTCAGACACATGATCTGCTTGGGGGGTGCTAGCAGCCAACAGGCCGGGGACTGGGCCAACAGCCCTGATTAGAGAGTTGCCAGCCGGCCATGGGGTCACTGGGTCACCGTGTAGAGGGCTCCAAAGCAGATGGGGCTGCCCAGCATCAGGGACTTCCTGCTCCTAGAGAAGCTCGAGGGTGTGCCAGGGCGGGTGGCGAGTGACTCCGTTCACCTCACTGTGGGTGACCCCTGGCCACAGGGGCTCGCCTGGGCTTTTCATCTGACTGTGAGTACTGAGGGTAGGCTTCCCTGCCAGGCAGTGTCGAAGGATCACGGGGTCGTGCCCGCTGGTGCTGGAGTGCCCAGCTCCTGATCACTGCCCTTGGGGAGCCCCAAGGCCCCCTGACAGGCGGTGCCAGCCTCCCTCCTGCAGCTCCCACTGGCCACAGCCGGCCGGAGCCAATGGCAGAGCTGGCCAGGCAGCAGGGGCTGAACTGCTTGGGGACTGGGGCGTTTGGGGCACAACCCCCAGCAGCCAGGCACCCCACACCTGCACTGGCAGTGCCCCCACCTGCCCTTGGGCAAGCAAGGTGACCAGTCAGCAGCAAGCTTCCCTGGGAGGACCCGACTCAGCTGTCCATCTGGAGGCCTCTGTCCTTCCACTCCAGTGAGAGGGTGGGGAAGTCTAAGCAACGCTCTGCAGACCTCAGTGTGGGGGCAGAAAGGGCTGGAGAGGGCAAAGGCCCATCGGCCACATCCAGACCTTCTAGGATGCTGCGCGGTGTAAGCTGTAAAGGGCTGTCCTCACTTGCCCCCCGGGGACCTGTGGCCCTGAGACCCTGGGCGGCCCCTTCTCTCTGAGCTTCAGCTCCACTGTGCCTATGGGGGTGGGTGGCTTTGAGGTGAGACCCAGCCATCCTGGACGTGAGCTGCGGCCCCAGGGGCCCTTGGGACCTCCACTGAGCAGCCAGAACCTCGGGCCCCAGCTTGAGTCTGTGGGGTGCTGGCTGTGCTGCCCCCTACTGGTGGCCGCAGAGAGCACGGGTGCCCTATAGTAAATGAGTGTTGGTGCCGCTCCACCCCAGGCTCCGCCCAAGACCCCGCCCCCACCCATCCCAGACTCCACCCCCTGCCCCAGGGGGCCCCACCGCACCCCCAAGCTCTGCTGGCTAACCTAGGCAGTGTGAGGATTGGGCAATGGACATCTAATTCCACGAGCCTCAGGGGGGAAACTGCCCAACCAGCCTAGGGGACACGAGACCAGTTTCCTGTGTCCACTCGGCTGACCTCCAGCAAGCCCCCTCTCTCTGGGCCTCAGTTTCCCCTTTGTGAGACAAGGGGTTTGGCATGTCCTGGGAAAGCATCTGTGTGCCCATCTGCAAGCCTCCCAGCATCCCTGGACCCTCCACACCCTCTACCCGGTGTCCACAGTGCCCCTGAGTCCCTCTGGGATCCAGAGAGAAGCAACAGGAGGTGTGGGCAGGACCCTGAGCCCCAGGACATTCCAGGTGGCCGGCATTGCCCCATCTGCCAGGCCCCCCCCCCACCAGGCCTATCAGGTTCCTCTCAGCACAGACAGGGTCAGGCTAGGCTCACCTGCTGGCCTCTCCGCTCCAGGTACCGCTGCTTGCCAGCCCTCCCCTCGCCCTGGGCCAGCCCCACCCTGTCCCTGGGTGTACTGACCCGCTAAAAAAACGCACAGAGTCATAAACTGCAAAATGCTTCAGAGTATTTATGAAACCAAGTGTTCTGGGGTGGGGGGCACGGGCCCAGGGCCGAGGGAGCATGAAGCTCTGCCTCCCAGTGGCCAGGTGTGCAGTTGATGGCCATGTCCAAGGGAGCGTCCAGGTACCACCACGGTGACTGTCATTGATGGGACCCCTTTATGATACCGGACCCAAGGCCAGAGGTGCCCCAGCCGCCCCAGGCTGGGCCCACGGGCAGGTAGGGCTGTGGCCAGCTCAGGTGGCTGGGGTGCAGCCCAGGTGGCAACCCTCACCCCTGAGAGAAAGAGGTGGGGTGGGCGATGGATCCGGATTCTGGTCACCGTGGACAGGGACTCCAGTTCCCCTGGTCTTGGAGGCTGAAAAGGTGAGGAAATGCATGGCCGTCCGAATCCTGGTGTCCGGGAGGGAGGTGGTGAGAGCTGGCAACAGTGGCCCGGCCAGTGCACCGTGGCGGCTGGCGCTGGCCCTCTGCTCTGGCCCCCGCTCCTTGTCTCCTAGCGTTCTTCTTCTTCACTCTGCTCGGGCTCTGACTCTGAGTGGCTGGAGCTGCCCGGCGCATCGCACCGCGGACCCACACACCCGCACTCCTCGATGTGGTGGTAGCTGAAGGCCCGGGTAGAGCCGTCCCGGCAGCTCAGAGTCACATTCCTCAGTGATGTCCGCAGCTCGTGGCAGCACCTACACCTGTGTTCCACCATGTTGGCCTCGAAGGAGTACCTGTGGGCAGGGGCCACTTAGCACCAGCTGCCACCGGGAGCCGCCCGAGCCCGCCCTGCGGAGCCCCCAGCAAACGCCCACTGCAGTGTACCAGGCCTCACGCTAAGCTCTCAATGGCGTCAGTTTAACAACTGGCTCTCCAGAAAGCAGAGCAAAATCAAACTCGTGATTTACAGCATTTGCCAATTGCCATGGTGTAAATGCTCCCACCAAGGGTGGATTCAAGCTGCCAGTGAAGGGTCAGGAAGAGACAAGCAGAGGCAGCCCTCAACAGCTTGCTCCCGCAAATCGCCAGTGGGGAAACTGAGGCCCAGAGTCTCAGTAAACAGCGAAGTATGATTTGAAACAGGACACAGGCTGTTGGTCTCTTAGCTCTCAGTCCAGTCTCAGACCCGGCTGCCTACCGCTAGCTACACCCTCCAGAGCCCCATGCCCTCCCCTTCTTCCTCATGGGCCCCCTCCTGTGCCTAGGCCTCCTGATCCCCGGTGGCCCTGATGGCGCCCCACTGTCTACACGCCCCTGACACTGCCCTGCGGGGCCCTCTGAGGTTTGAGGGGTGCAGCCTGGGGGGTGCTCACATACATGGAGGTGGTGTCCCCACAGTTGCCCTGACAGTAGGCGAGGCGCACAGGCTGGGTGGAGCTGCAGCCGCCATCCCGGACGACCTCCTGCTTGTAGTACACGGCGCAGGTGGAAGCTGGGGGGAAGGTGGGCAGGGTTAGGACTGCCCGCTGCCCCTGGCCCTCCCCGGGACCAGCCCCACCCGCAGACGCGGAGCTTACTGTTCTGGGGTGGCTGCTGGGGACAGGAGAGGCAGCAGCCATCTTCATCAGGCAGGGCCTCGTTCTGTGTGGACAAGGTGGGCGCAGTGAGTGCCGGGGAGGCCACTGGAAAGCTCGCCAGAAATGAGGGGACCCGACACCAGGCCAGGCTCCCACAGGCACTGCCCTAGTGGTCCGCGGCACCCCACCCGGTCCCCGTGGCTAGCGGCTAGCTGGGTCCGCTCTTGGTGAAGTGGGCAGATGGGCTCAGGAACGCACCTGAGGACACTGGAGTACAGGACACGCCTTCCTCGTGGTCACCACCACGAGCTCGTCCTTGTGCTTCTCACACTCGTGTGTCTCACAAGGGTTCCCGGGCTCCGACCAGGTCTCGCCGGGCTGCAAGGAGGCCCGGTCCGATGAGCGCCCCGCCCACCACAGTGAGCGCCCCGCCCACCGGGCAGAGTTGGAGTCCCGCTGAATCTGCCTGCCCGCCCCCACGCTTCCGGTGACCGGGGGGCGAGAGGCAGAGCAAGCTGGCTCCCCGGCCTCTGAAGGGCTTTGCGGATGGGGGCAGTGTCCCTGCCTCAGGGACTGCTAGTTACGGTGTAGCCTGTACTGGGTCACCACCTGGTCCTGCAGGCAAAAGCTTTTCAACCCGGCTCCCCAAGCGCCCAGTGCCCCCCGGGATCTGCCCACGCACCCTAGTACCCTGAGGACTCCCCAGGTCTTTTCCCTGGAGCTCTGGGGATGGGTGGGGGTTGCTCTGCCCCAGTCCCCCGCCAGGGCACACCACCCTGCCCCAGGCAGCGGCAACTACTCACGTAGAAGAGGTGGGCGGAGCCATTGCTGGTGTGCATGACGCAGGCCACCTGCACACAGGAGCCACAGCACTGTCCGGCCGGCACACGGTACTGGAAGCCCTGCAGGGGCAGCAACGCGCGGCCTGAGCCCCAAGGTCTCCCCAGAACTCAGCTGGAGGGAGGCGAGGATGGAAAGAGGGGGGAGGGGGAGGAGGGGTGCACTCACCACAGGACAGTTGCTCTGGCAGATCTGGATCTCGCAGATCACCGCTAATGGGTCCGTCTCAGGGTCGTCGGTCCCCTGACACCTGCACGTCTCGCACAGGCCCGAGGAGACCACGGCGCCGGGCTGGGGATGGTCCCAGAAGGGTGGGCATCAGCAAGGTCGTGGGAAGGGTAACCCCTCCTCTCTCCCCCTTTCCTAGCCCCCACCAGGTGGACCAGCCTCTGGGTGAACCTCCTGGCCCAGAGATGGCAGCCCTGGGCGCCACCCTCGTGGACAGAGCCAGGAGCTGGGCCCCATGGTGGGTGTCAACGGGGACACAGTCTCGGGGTGGTGGGGGGGCTCGCCCTGCAGATGCAGGTGGCCTGGCTGCCTAGGCTCTGGTCAGGGTTGGTGGGGGGTGGAGCCCACCATTGCTCAGAAGTCACTTCTCTGAGGTCAGGGTCCCCAGAGAAGCCACATGAGAGGGGGCCTCTATTTCCTGTTGGGAGAGGTCTCCTTCGGCTGATGCTTACCTGGTACAAACTGCCGTTGACAACACAGACATCATAAACTGTTCAGAAAGGAACAAACAGGCCTCCAGACCTTGCCTTGTAAGGACCCCTGCTCATCCTGCACCCCTTAAACCCCACCCTCACCTTGACCTGCTCCACGCCCCTAACTTGACCCACCG